CCAGCAGCTTTCCCTAAAATCAAATTTCAGGCAAGGGCAATAATTCCTTTTCAACCTTGATTCCTTCTTATGATTTCTTTTCAACATTGTTCTAAGAGTTCTCTAGCTAACGGAATAAGATTAAAAAAGAAAAAAAGGAAATAAAATGTATATTGACTGGGAAGGAAGAATTAAGACTATCTTTATTGCAGATAACATGATGATTTATGTAGAAAATCTCAAAGAATTGTAAAAACAAAACAAAACAAAAAAACAAAAATACTCAAAACCTCCTGGAACTAATAAGCAGTCTTATTGAGGTTTCTCACTGGAAAAGACCCTTATGCTGGGAAAGATTGAGGACAGGAGGAGATGGGGGCAAGAGGATGAGATGGTTGGGTGGTATCACTGACTCAGTGGACATGAGTTTGAGCAAACTCGGGGAAATAGTGAAGGAAGGAAGCCTGACAGGCTACAGTCCATGGGGTTGCAAAGAGTCGGACGTGACTTAGCACCTGAACAACAGCATTAAAATTTCAGGATTCAAGGTTAATGTGTAAGTCAGTCATTTCCTGTATACCAGCAATGAACAAGTAGAAATTGAAATTAAAAAAAAAAAATACCATTAGCATCCAGAAAGATGAAATACTTGAGTGCAAATCTAACAAGATATGTAGATCTATATGAAAAAAACCTCAAACCTCTGGTGAATTAAAGAAGAACTAAATAAATAAAGAGGTGTTCCACATTCATAGATAAGAAAACTCAATATTGTCAAGATGTTAGTTCTTCCCTATTTGATCTGTGGATTTAGTGCAATCCCACCAACCTACCACCAATCCTTGGAATTTACCCAAAGGAGTTGAAAAAGTATGCCCACACAAAAACCTGCCTGCAGTTGTTTGGTGGTGGTTTAGTCCCTCAGTTGTGTCTGACTCTTTGCGACCCCATGGACTGTAGCCCACCAGGCTCCTCTGTCCATGAGATTCTCCAAGCAAGAATACTGAAGTGGGTTGCCATTTCCTTCTCCAGAGGATCTTCCGGACCCACATCTCTTGCGTCTCTTGCATTGGCAGGCAGGTTCTTTTCTGACTGAGCTAGGAGAGAAGCCGCAGCTGTATTTGTAATTGCCAAAACCTGGAAGCAACCAAGATGTCCTTTAGTAGATGAATGGATAAGTAAACTGTGGTACATCTTGTCAATGGAATACTATTCAGAGCTAAAAGAAACGAGCAATCAAGCCAAGCAAAGACATGGAGGAAACTTAAATGGGTATTAATGAATAAAAGAAGCCAGCCTGAAAAGGCTGCTTAACGTGATTCCAACTGTATGGCCAGCTGGAAAAGGCAAAATTTTGGAGATAGTGAATAGATCTGTGGTGCCAGGGATTAAGCAGGAGAGAAAGATGAATAGGCAAAACACAGAGGACTTTTAGGGCAGTGAAAATATTCTGTGTGATAGTCCAATGGCAGACATAATGTCATTTTACATTTGTCAAAATCTACAGAATTTAGACCAAGAGTGAAGCCTAGTGCAAACTGTGGACTTGGGGCGATAATGATGTGCAATATAGGTCATCAGTTCTAACAAATGTACCACTCTGGTGGGATGCTGATAAAGAGGGAGGCTATGCATGTGTGGGGACAAGGGCTTTATGAGAAAATCTGTACTTTCCTTTCAGTCTTGCTGTGAATCTAAAAATGTTCTTAAAAATAAACAAGGGAGGATAGAGAGATGGATAAAATAATTTTAAATGTGTATGTCTTTTATTAAAATTAATTTACTTATTTTGGATTGTGCTGGGTCTTCATTGCAGTGCACGGGCTTCTCGTTGCAGTGGCTTCTCTCGTTGCAGAGCACAGGCTCTAGAGCACACGGGCTTCAGTATTTGCAGCACTCGGGCTCAATAGTTGTGGTTGATTACAGACTCAGTAGTTGCAGCTCATGGGTTCAGTGGTCATGGTCCACAGGCTTAGGTGCTATCCACAGGCATATTCCTATCCACTGAGCCACCAGGGAAGTCCTCTGTTGTTGTTTTAAATTTGTCTTCACTGGGTCTTAGTTGTGGCGTGCAGAACCTATGACCTTTATTGCAGCATGCAGGATCTTTGGGTGCAGCTTGCAAACTCTGGTGGTAGCAGGTGGGATCTAGTTCCCTGATCAGAGGTTGTACCCAGGCCCCCTGCATTTGTGAGCATGGAGTCTTAGCCACTAGACCACCAGAAAGGTCTCTGTTGTTTTAATAAGGAAAACTGAAAACAATATAGACATTTGTCAACAGAAGAACATTCCAGTACATCCTATGCAGTTGTTAAAAAGACTGAAGTTGCTAAATACGTACTCATATGGACCGATATGCATGATTTGTTACCAGAAAACAGTATTGTTAAATGATATTAGTATTTTGTTTTATTACATTTCCAGTAATATTTTTCATAATAATTATCTCTGAGAAATAGTATCATTGGGAGCTTTTAAATATTTATCAGTCTTACATTTCCTAGAATAGCAAACTGTCTGTTTGATCAAGAAAGTAATAATGAAAAAAAATGCTGACAGTTTCTGAAATTTTCTCCATGATTGTGTATCTATTTTCATAAGAAAAACAAACAAACAAGAAATTAAATTCACCTATGCAGGGAACTGAGAATTTTATTATATATGTATATCTTAACCCTAAACACAAATCTGCATCAGGTTGTTTTATTTTATATCCTGCCTGTTTCTGATAGGAATTAATGTACCTTTTGCCCAAGCTAAAGATCCTTTCAGTGTATTCAAAATAACATATACATGATAGGAATTCAGTGAACACTTGCCCAAATGGCAGTTGTCTTTAAGAAATACATTTTGTGTGTATGATAGGAAATTTGGGATGCTCTAAAGTATGGGGGATGCTTTTGAACTATGGTGTTGGAGAAGACTCTTGAGAGTCCCTTGGACTGCAAGGAGATCCAACCAGTCCATCCTAAAGGGGATCAGTCCTGGGTGTTCATTGGAAGGACTGATGCTGAAGCTGAAACTCCAGTACTTTGGCCACCTGATGCAGAGAGCTGACTCACTGGAAAAGACCCTGATGCTGGGAAAGATTGAGGGCAGGAGGAGAAGGGGACTACAGAGGGTGAGATGGTTGGATGGCATCACCGACTCAATGGACATGAGTTTGAGTAGACTCCGGGAGTTGGTGATGGATAGGGAGGCCTGGCGTGCTGCGGCTCATGGGGTCGCAGAGAGTCAGACACGGCTGAGCGACTGGACTGACCTGAGCTGAGAGTGTGGGGCACAGGAATAGCTCGCTCGTGGGAAGCCGCGGGACAGCACAGGGGGCCAGTTCAGTGCCCTGTGACGACTGGAGGGCTGAGGTGGACGGGGGTGGGAGGGGCCTCAAGAGGGAAGCAGTGTGTGTACATGTGGCTCATTCAGTTTGTTGTACAGCAGAAACTAACACTGAAAAGCAATTATCCTTCAGTAATAAGTATAGATAAAGAATGGGGCCCGGAGCTGAGCTATTCTTGCCAGGGATTAAGGGTGGCCGTGAGCCATTGCTCAGATGCGTGCGTGCCTTTTTACCCACACTTACAGGCTCCTTATGGGAAAACTCCTTGACCTCTCTGAAAATCAGTCTGCTCTCTTCAATCGTGAGCCTAGCTCTTCAGAAACCAGAAATGAATATTATGCCACTCCTTGAAGGAATGATGAAATGAATTTTAAAAATGACAGGTTGCATAATGTTTTTACAGAGAAAAACATGGTGAAGAAAATCCATTTGCAGATAAGCTTCTTAAGGAGGGCTGGGGTCAGTACCCAGAGGGACTTTGTTAAAGTGTTCACCCTCTCACATCACCTTGTACTTTAACTTTGTGGCACCTGTTGCAAAAGCAGTGTCACTATGCACCTCTGAAAAACCACAGAAACTATATGAACTCAGTAAATACCCAGATTGCGAGTCACGCGTCTGTGCGTCTGTCCTCCTGCCGCCTTTCTTGAAGTCATCAAGGAGTAGTTCTGAAAGCCTCCAAATGTTTTGAAAAGATTCATTGTTCTGTTTTTCAGTTCCCATAGAGACATCAGTTTGTTACTCTCGGCAGTTTTCCTTATATTTGACAACCTATTGTTTAAGAATATATGGAAATATACTGTTTAAGAATATATGGAAATTTCAAAATTTGAAATGCTGCTTTCAGATTTTGCATTTGAAAGAAGTTAAAGGACTCAAAAACTTGGCTGAAACTTACATATCTTTGACTAGCTTCTACATATGGGTCTTTGTATATGCTGAGGTGAAGTATGCTAACATAAACACAAAATTTCTCCTCTTCTGTGTCTTCACAAAGAGTATGTACAATGTGTTATGTAGAAACTGATCATTTTGAGTAAATTTGACACTGATACTAACCTCATCAGATTGGGAGACACCTTTTACATGTTCGTTTTTTCACTGTTTTTGACTATCTTTTACATATCCATGTTTTCACTATTTCTTGACTCTCTACTGTGCCAAAGCACTGTGCCAGATACTCTGGGGACACAGGGATGAGTAAGATGCAGCCTTGAGAAGCTTGTTGTACTGGGAGGTAAGACTGCTATTGGAAACAGAATCTTTAAAATAGCTAACTTATTTTCCTAGTAGAGCATTACCATCCTGTTTGATCTCTGGCCAGAGACTTGCAAAATTTCAGCTGTGGTACCACTGAGAAAAAAAGTAATTTGAATCGGATTTACCTTCAAAATTGACGGGGATCAAAACTCTGAACTTGATCCAGTTTTCTTCTCATGTATACTCAAAAAAAAAAAAAAATCAATTTCAGAGTTGTAAGGTTAAAAATTACGATAATTGCATTGGATCATAATTATGATTGTTACTTTTAAAGAGGTACAGAAAAGGCTGAGTTGATTGGCAAAATACTAATGTTAGAGGTAATTTAGTGATGATGTTTGCTTTATGCAATCCAGTTTTTACCAAACATGTTTATTCACTTAAAGAATTCCTTTTTGCTTAATATTTTCCTTCTCTTTTGTAGGAGTTTATTTTATCAGAAGATTATAACAAGATGACTCCTGTGAAAAACTATCAAGGTAGGAATGAGAGTCGTGTTTTCATTGCCTTAGACTTTGAAATGTTCCTTGATGGCTTCCATGGCCACAAGAGGGGACTTAACTTTACAACAGTCGCTGGGAACCAGAACACCGCAGTGCTTTGTGGTGAATATTATCCCAGTTTTTGAATCAAGAATCAGAGGCCCAAAGAGATTGGCTGACTGGGCTGCAGTCCTGTAGCTGGTAACTTGCAGAGCCAGTCCAGTTCCCGTGTGACTCCAGTACCCACCGCCTTTGTTCCTGGTCTCCCTGCTCCACCCCACTGCCTGGAGACCCTGCAGCACACTTGGAGAGTGGGGCTGGGCTTGGGAGTGAGCTGCTTTCACGGAGCTCATTTCATTTTTGGTTAACGGTTGTAAAAGGTTTATATTGTCTCAGGGAAGGCGTTCAGGTTTTATTATGTCTTCAACATTGGCATTGTACCATAGACCATTTACATAGTACAGACCAGGAGCAAATTTTCACTAAGGAGTGTTTCCTTGAGGTCAACAGTGGCAGGGGCCAGAACATTATAAGTAGACCTTGGAACACTTAGAGGTCGTTTCATCCACATCTCGTGACCTCATTTATGATCATCCCGCCTCTCCTCTTGAGGTATCCTTAGACATAGCAACCCCTCCTGATTTTAGAAAATTCTCAGCATTAAGTTCTTCATTTCTAGATGTTGAGCAAAAATTCATTTCCCTATGGGTTTATTCTTTTTTTTCCCTTTAATAACTAGTTTTCTTTTTCTTTTGAGCCTTTTATTTTGCGTTGGGGTATAGCCCATTAACAATGTTGTGATAGCTTCAGATGAACATCAAAGGGACTCAGCCATACATATACGTGTATCCCTTCTTTCCCAAACTCCCCTCCCATCCAGGCTGCCACATAACATTGAGCAGAGTTCCATGTGCTGTATAGTAGGTCCTTTTTGGTTATCTATTTTAAATATAGCAGTGTGTACATCACCATCCCTATGGGTTTATTCTGTAGTGTTTTTTTTACGTATCACTGATCATTTATTGAGTACCTACTGTGTTCCAATAACTGAAAATTATAATAGTGAACAAGGCATGCATAGTATCCATGCATCCCCCATGAAAATAGAATCAAGTAAATCTAAACACAGTTAAAGCAGATCAAATCCAGCAACATATAAAAAGGGAAGTACATCACAAGCAAGTGAGGTTTATTCCCGAAAAGAAGTAAAAGCAGGGACAAGTGTTTGTATATCCATATCATAGCAGCCTTATTCACAATAGCTAAGAAGTGAAAACAGCCTAAATATTCACAGATGGATGAATGGATGAACAAAATATGGTTTATCAATACAGTGAATTCTTATTTGGCCACAAAAAGAGAATGAAGTGCTGATACCCGTTATCATGTGAATGAACCTTGAAAACATGCTGAGTGAAAGAAAAGACCATACATTGTATGATTACATTTATATGAAATGTTAAGAATAGGAGAATTCATAGCCACAGAAAGTGAATTAGGGTTCCTCAGGGATGGGGCTAAGGGGATTGGAGGTATGGGCTGGAGGTGACAGAATGTTCTGGAAATGGAACATTTCCCTTAATCATTGCACAACACTGTGAATAAACTAAAAATCACTGAATTATGCACTGAAAAATGGTTTAAATGGTGACTTTTATATTATGTGGATTTTTATGTCAAGTACCATTTTTTGAAACAATCACTTTTAAAACAAGTGATGCCAAAAACAAAGACATTACAAGAAAGGAAAACTACAGCCCTAATTCTCTCCTAAACTTAGACGTTAAAGTCCTAAAAGAAATACTAGCAAATCCAGCAACCTGTAAAAAGAATTATACACGATGACCAAGTGGGGTTTATTCCAGATATGCAAAGCTGGTTCAATGAAAATCAGTGTAATCCATCACGTCAAAAGCCTAAAGAGGAAAAATCATAGGATCATATTAATTGACACAGAAAAAGCATTCAATAACACCTGACTCCCATTCATGATCTAAACTCTCAGCAAACTACAAATAGACAGGAAAGTCTTCAACTTGAGAGAGAAACATCTATTAAAAAAACAAACTATAGCTAACATCATGCAGTTGACTCTTGTCCAACTGCAGATTGGGAAGTGCTCTGGTATTTACTGTTGAAACATATCTACATATAAGTGGACCCATGCAGTTCAAACGTGCTTTGTTCAGGGGTCATGTGTACTTAATTGTGAGAAACTAGATGTTTCCTCCCTAAGATGAAGATCATGGCCCCTATTTAACAAGTACAGCCAGGCTTCAAGCCTAGGTTCCTGAAGCTTAGCACTATGTATGTATCTTCAAATGGTTTCTTTTTGAATAAGAGAATTCTGTCATCTTAGAAAGAGTATGTGCTTTGAGTTTTAGGGTTTGTTTTTTGTTGGTTTTTGTTTGTATTTTCAGTAGTCATAGGCAGCCTGACAGAGAAAGAGAACCAACTTTGGCAGAGAGACTAGGGTTTTAATTCTATCCTTGTCACTCATTGATTGTGTAGCTTTGAGCAAGTCACATAAGATTTTTGAGTCTCTGTCTCCTCTGACCCAGAATGGTAGCTTGGAGCGCTGCAAACCCCCTTATCTTCTGGGCTACTGTCATCCCCTTGGACTTAACAGGAAGAAGATCAACGGCGCCTTCTTGAAAAAAGAGAGCAAGGCGCTAGGGGCCACTTCCTGCCTGAAATAGACTTGAAAGTGAACCATTAGAGAGTCCGCTTTTATTCCACCATTGGTGGAACTTAAATTGGGCATTTGATGACACAGACATGACAGGAGTTTCTCTAGGAAGTCCCATCTTTGAGTTTAAGACAACGTTTTGATCTTGATGGTGGCCAATTCTCTGAAAGGCAGGTACTGTTTAGAGAAGTTACAGTATCATTGCTTCTATGCTCCTTCTAAATCCCTTTAGACACTCCAGCTTCAGATGTCAGATTTTTAAACATCAGGCATTTGGTGAAATGTCTGTCCCAGAGGGATTCGCTGTGGTTCTGGCCGTACTGTTTGGTCACCAGTCTAGAAGGGCCGTCTTGCCAAGGCCAGGTTGTGTGTGTAAAAGAAAGAGGCCCCCCGGCTTTGCAGAGTCATTACAGTGACTAAGTGAGAGAGTATCTTTCAGTCCTTGGCACCTGTTAGATGTTCAGAAATTGGCAGTATTATTGTTAAGAGCTGCATTGATCCATCCATGTCTCGTCTTGTTTTCATGATGAAAATGGGAAGCTGATGTCTTCTCTGCCACCTCGTCCCACTCAGGATGTCTCCTGTCACCCACCAGGCTGCCACCTCCTGGGCACAGGTAGCCTGATGAGGTCCAAGTTCCGAGACTTCAATCTTTCTTTATTCCAGTCAGCTCTGTGCAGTGGCCATGGACACCCCCATACCTCTCCCCCTGGAATTGTATAAGAAGAAGAAAGCAAATATTTTACTGATTTTATTTGGTACTTGAGAAGCCACGAGACCTTGACCAAACTCCTCGACTTGATCCTGCCTCAGTTTGTCCGCATGTAAAGCAGGAAGAAGGGGTCGAGGACGTGAATTGTGTCTTCTGACTCTGAAACTGTGTGATGCAATACTTCTGTGGTGGTGGTGCCCTTATTTCTGAGTGACCCTGGGAAATTGGCTCCCGTTATCTCATTATGTATACTTTGATGTAGGGGATATTTCATTCTTTTTTTTTTTAATGTGGCCCTTGAGAATAATTCTGCTGTCCTTTCCAAGCTCCAAGCATTTGATTTGTCATGGAAAATTCATCTAGAACTTTGTTGTGGGTTTAAAAGCCAGCCTTCATCAAAAGGAGGACAGTAATGCTCTTTGCTTTTTTTTCTTAAGCTCAAATAAACTGACCCAGTAACTTACTGGGAGAGCATCGTTCCTAACGTGTTTTGCAGTTGCAGTGATCTGGCTGTCTCTAGACCAGCAGTTCTAACAAGTGTAAAAGAGGTCGCCCCCGGCCCTTGCGCTCTGGGAACATTTTCTTATAGGATCTCCGATGTGGTCTTCTCCAGGGGCAGGGCTTTACCCCTGATGAGAACCACCACTCTAGCTTGCGTTTGCCATAATATCTACTGTTTAGTTTACGCCGGGGCAGGGGAGGAGACAACCTTGCCCCTCTGTGGACCACGCCTCGTTTAGGATGCTTGATGGATTGTTTTCTTGTCTCTTGGTTTCCAGCGCATCAGAGCCGAGTGACGATGATCCAGTTTGTCCTGGAGCTGGAGTGGGTGCTGAGCACGGGACAGGACAAGCAGTTTGCCTGGCACTGCTCCGAGAGTGGGCAGCGTCTGGGAGGTTATCGCACCAGTGCTGTGGCCTCAGGCCTGCAGTATCCTTTGCTGGACAGAATCCCTTGGTGGGAACTTAGCTGTTGACTTCTTTCTTTCATGAGCATTCTGGGTATGTGCACCTTGAAGGTTTTGTGTTTTATTTGCTGAGTTGCCCTGCTGATTAAGATGCTTATAAACCGTCCTCACACGTAAATTGTCAGGGGTCCCCACATAGGCGGGGTAAATCAATTTCACCTGAAATAACAGTCCGTGCTGAGCACGTTGTGGCTCTGCCGTGAGCAGAGTCTGACATCTGCACAGCACACAGCCCAGATTTGTGAGCCTCAGCCGTCAGAAAGATTATGGAACACGGAGATAACGCTGTCACTGAATTACAGTCTTTTATTTTTGTACAGAAATAATTTACACATAGGTATTAAGGTTGGGAACATTCACATTTTGGTGCCTGGCAGAAGAACCACAGGATCCCTATTCATTTTAAGAATATTTATTGAGAAGCTACCTTGCTGGGACCAGCGTAGGCTGACTGAACACGGTAATGCTATGTACAAGTCTTTGTTCCAGGTACCAGATTTTTCCAGAATGTGTAGAATGATACTGACTCTTATCTCCAAAGCTTCCAGGGTCCATGTGCTCACTGTGCATACCTGCCAATGATGGGTGATCCTCACATCCAGTGCTCTGGGCACCAGTGAACATGGGCCTGACAAGTGTGAGACCTGGATGGGTGATGTTACCATTGCAAGAAGGAAGGGGCCCTGAGTTTCTTCTTTAAAAAGCATAGAATCTCTCCACCTTCTGACAAATGAGGAAATAGTTATAAACAGATTACTTGTCTGCAAAAGCTGGATGAAAGAATAAGACTTTCTTTCAGATTTTCATCTCATATTTATAAAATTCCTATTCAGTAATTTGCATCTGACAGAGTACCTTGCTGTTTCCTTGCAGACATGTGGCAGTTGTGTTGTGTGTGTGTGTGTGTGTGTGTGTGTTTAGGCTAATGTCACTCTTATTTTCCTACTGAAAGGGCAAGAGGAAGAAACTGAGAATGGCCATATGGAAAGTTTTAAAAGTGGCAAGTTACCAAGAAGACCATAAGCAAGGGTGAGGAGGAATGGAAATCAAGATCGACTTATCTTTGAGAGGGTGGTTAATAAAAGAAACTCCATGCTTTACTTACTAAAAAGCCAGTTCAGACAAGCATAATGCTTGAATTGAAGTGCATGATCTCTCCTGCCAGTAGATTAATTATTTCTTGTAGTGCTCAGATTAGATCTCCCTGAGAGATCATCCGTCCAATTTCTCATTTACAGATGAGCCAGCTACAGCCCAGAGTGGGTCACGTGCCTCTCTCTGCAGCCCCCCAGCTGGTATCAAGGAAAATCACCACCACAACCCAGGTCTTCTGCTGTGGACTGCTGGGTTTTCCCAGCAGTTAAACTGCTTTACCCTTTTGAGAAAAGAACCAATGGCATCAATATAATTTGTTCTTAACATTCTGGCTTCTCTCTCACTAGCCAGGCCTAGTGATGTATCTTCTGTATCACCTAACCAAGCTGGGGAGCATAGAAAGAAATACAGATCTTGCCCTTATGAAGTTTATTTTTTAAACTATCTGAAAATGGTGGGGGAGGGAACCCATAAATACACAGAATTAAACTTGTCCTGACTTATTATAGTCTTTGACTCGTCTGTTCAGGCATCTCCAAAGGTCATCTTCATTTTTCAGCTGTTTCCTTTGGTCACACCATGTGGTTTAACCAGGCAGAAAAAAATCATGTGATGGGCTAGCAGAAGCTTTGATGTGTGGTGAAGGCCCAGGCTTCTTTCCCCCATGCAAATGACCATCCAGTCCAGCCTTGGAAGGGAGCGCAATACTGCAGAGATGCCCTTCCAGAAAACTCCTCCCACCTCCCTTGCTCCAGTTCCGGAGTCACAGTGCCAGCCCTAGCTCCTGGGAGCCTATATTTACCTGGTATTTTCCCAGTGCCGTGCACTGATGCATAACGATGCTGAATTTGCCAGAGAGTCTCAGCCGAGAACCATGTGACTTTCCCAGGCTGCAGGGCTTTTCCTGGGAGCCGCCTGGTGCGTAGATTGTTAATAAGCAACCCATACAGCATTGGGGTTCACTTGAAATCCAGTTTTAAAACCCATTTGTTTCATGGGACCCCCCTCCTCCACCACCTCGCCCCCCCTTCTTTCTGCTGTCTTCTATACTTACAGGTTTTTTTGGGGGGAGTGGTTAGTGATAATGAAAAGAAGATCTGTTGAAATAACTTAAGATGTTCAGAATAATATTATGACCCCCATTTCTCTTCATAATGGACGCTGGTGGTATAGATAAAAATCTACATATAAATTCATTCTCTCCCATCTGCATCTTAAACAGTCAATTCAAACAAGCCAACAAGTGACAGTATAAGTCAGAGGGAATATAGCCTTTTTTCTCTTCTTTCAGGCCTCTTTGTGAAGTAAATATGCAATGAAAGTAACCAAAATTCAAGTAGAGAAGCAAAGGATGACAAAACGACTGACCAGTTCACAAATTGAACTATCAGTTTTGAAATCACCTCAAAATCTTTGTTTCTTTGGCTGAAGATCTGACACTTCAAGTATTAAGTGAACTATCATATCATGTGTGTGTGTTCAGTCGTATCCGGCCATTTGCAGCCCCAGGGACAAGAGCCCACCAGGCTTTTCTGTCCATGGATTCTCCAAGCAAGAATACTGGAGTGGGTTGCCATTGCCCCCTCCAGGGGGTCTTCCTGACCCAGGGAGCGAGTCCCCTGGGTCTCCTGCATTGGCGGGTGGATTTGTTACCACTAGCACTACCTGGGAAGCCAGGCTATCATATCACCAACAGCAACAACGAGAATAATGATAAGGAAGCGAAGGAGAGGAAAAAGAAGACAATACCTGATACTTGCGGTCCTTGAGTGTTCACCTAGCACTTCTACATGATGTTACGTTGTTCGCTAGCAAAACGTGAAGACCTGATTCTCAATTTTCAGAGTAGAATGCATCACAGAGGCTCAACAGGTTAAGAGACTTTCTTGAGGTCACATGACTGTTACCTGGCAGAACCAGGATTAGAACTTGGGTTTTTAAATCTTTGAGCTAGCCCTGTGCACAACGAGATACAGCAGAATGGAGCTATTTCCCCAAGGTCCCACGGCAGGCTGACGTAGGAAATAGAACTGTTTTCCTCCCCAACTTCAGTTACCCGTCTTTACATTTATCTAGCCTCATCCTTCATTCTGTCATTGGACCAAGTTTTGGTCACATCTGGTCATGCTTCCACAAAAATAATTTAGGTACTCTGCATCTTAAGAATTTCCCCATGTTGGAGATATTTCCAAGGTACCACCCTCTTCTGTTTATTCCTAGTTGGGGAAAGAGTACTGAAAAGCTATTAAGATTATCTTGATTTTCGTATTTCCTCATGTCATACTAAATGCCAGTCACTCTGGCTTTGAGGTTTTACAGTTTTATTTTTGCCCTCTTCCAAATAGCTTGTGTTGCATCCATATATGTGAGTGAGGAGTGAATGAGTGAGTGTGTGTGTGTGTGTGTGTATTATTTTCGCAAAGTTGTGAAGACTTGCATCTGTTTTTTCATCTGTGTCCTTATAATTAATCAAGATAATTAAAATTTAAGGTGATTTTATTCTTTGTAAATCCTAATATTGTTTCATGTATATCTGATAACTTTTCTCCCTATTCTTGAGACCAGAAGAATTTGTTATAGCTTGTTCTCCTTCACTTAAAAAAATGTCTTAATATGAAAATTTTAAAACACGTATCAAATTGAAGAAGATAGTGTGGTGGACACTCATGTACTTTCTGCTCCAATGCACTGTGGGTCTTCTCTCCCTTTCTGTCTCTTTTCCCTGGAGTAGTTTAAAGCAAATTCCAGACCTTAGGTCTTCTTATCCTTACACACTTCATTATGCATCTCTCAGAAATATGAACCTTTTCCCACAGTGGTGTCATTACTCCTGAAGTTTACAATCATTCCTTGATAATACTGCATAATTAATACATTTTCAAATTTAACTTATTGTTTCAGAAGTGGCTTTTTGCAGTGGATCTGTTTGAAATCAAGTCCAGAAAAGGTCCACAAATAGGATGTGGTTACTGCATTTCCTAAATTTCCCAGTCTTCCTTCAGATTTTTTTTTAATGCCACTGCACCTTGTTGAGGGGACCAAGTCGGTTCCCCTTTAGAGTCTCACGTTCTAGAGTGACCTCTGCTTTCTCGTGATGTCATATAACTTGTTCTTCTTCCTACCTTTTCCCCCAGTTTTTCTGTAAACTGAAAGTGGCCTCTGATACCTTGATTCAGTTCAGATTCAGCTTTTGGTCAGAACACTTAGTTGTGCTGTGTGGTTCATCCTGCTTCTCAGCAGGAAACACAGCATGTCGGGTCATCACCCTTCCAGTGATAGATAGCAAGATTGATTGGTGGTTCTGTGGTGACAGTGGGGTCCCTGCAGGGCAGTCTTCCCCATCAGCCTGTCCTTTAGTGGTTTCATCCACTGCTTCTCTTTTCCCAAATCCAGTCCTTTCATTAGGATTGTAAAAGGGTGATTTTGTAATCCTTTCATTTTTTTTCTACATTTATTAGTTGGATTTCTTCTATAAAGTAGAACTTTCCCTAATTGACTATGGCTGTTTGGTTATCCTGAAATACAGTCAGTACAGGAAAAGCAATGTAAGTTCTTAATTATTTCTCTTTAATTGCTCATTTTTAGAGCAGACAGTTAATGCCCTGGTTACCTTCAGTAGAGATTTGTGTTTTGAGCATTATTATAAACTCTTAGTTTGGTTTTTAATAATATATTCATTATATTTCAGTAAACTGCTCCCCTTTTCCCACTTTCTTTCTTTTTAAAATTTTTTTAAAATTTTATTTTCTTTTCTTGTTTGTGCTGACCAGCTTGTGAGAGCTTACTTCCCTGACTAGGGATCAAACCTGGGTCCTTGGCAGTCAAAGTGTGGAGTCCTAACCACTAGATCGCCAGGGAATTTGCTTCCCCTTTTTATTTTTTTTTTCTTAATGCTCATGTTGTCCCATCTTTGGCCAGTAAGAGCCACATCATATTGGCTCCTGTGTCTTTTTGATAGACCCCCACTCGCCTTTGGTAGCATTTTTGTTTTTTGATGCAACATGTCTTAAGCTCGTCTGGTATTTTCCTGTTCCAGTCCTGGAATCGGCCATTTCTCTTAGTGAGGAACAGCACTCAGAGATAGCTAGGAAGTACGTGTATGTGTATTTTTAAAAAAGGAAATAAATCATCAGTTCATATAATATTTTAAATTCAGATTTCACCTTATAGAGTTATTTCGTTTTTGTACTTGATTCTTTTGTCTTGGGCCGAAAACCTTAGTTCCTAAGCATCAGCATAATTCCTTACTCTGCTCTATCCCATGGTATATTTAGGGCTTCCCTGCTGGCTCGGTGGCAAAGAATCCACCTGCCAGTGCAGGAGACGTGGGTTTGATCCCTGGGCTGGGAAGACCCCTGGAGAAGGAAGTGGCAGCCCACTCCAGTATTCTTGCCGGGAAAATCCCATGGACAGAGGAGCCTGGAGGGCTACTGTCATGGGGTTGAAAAAGTTGGACATGATTTAGTGACTGAACACCAGCATGGTATATTTAAGTAGTTTCAAAATAATGATACAGTATTATAATAACAGGACCACTGAATGAGATTTTAGGTTTTTTTGTTGGTTTCTTTGTCCTGAGGATATGTTCCACCAAGAATATACAGTTAAAATGCTGTGTTTTAAAGTGACTTGAAATAATTATGTTAGTTCTGTGGTTATAACAGGAAGTTGATAGTAGCTTTATTCATTTTTCTTTGTTGTCAATTTGGGGGATTTTTTAAAAATTATGAATATTTTTCATATGTAAAATAATTACAAGATTCCATCATGGAAACAACCTGATGAGAGAAAATTCTTACTACCACCCTTGTCTGCTCAGCTTTTTTCTCCTCTCTCCATAGGCAGCCGTTTAAATATTTTTTTTAATTTTTAAACTTAAAAAAATTTTTTTAGTTAATTTTTTTAATTAAAAATTTTCTTTTTTCTTTTAGTTTGGGTGTGCCAGGTCTTAGTTGTGGCACTCAGAATCATTAGGTGTGGCATGCAGGACCTAGTTCCCTGACCACGGATCAAACCTGGGCCCCATGATTTGGGAGCCTAGAGTCTTAACCCCTGAACCACCAGGAACGTCCTGACAGCCATTTTTGATCAATCTTAATTTATCTTTCCAGTGTTTCCTTTTGTAAATATAAGCATGTGCACAAGTGTGTGCACGCACGCACACACATACACACACTCTTATATTTCCCTCTTGTTCTTACACAAAGGTAGGGTAGCATATAAACTCTCATATATCTCAGCTTTATTTCCCCACTTCATAAAATATCCTGGAAATTATTCCATGTCAAGTTTCTTAGCTGGGTAGGGTTCTTTTGGCTGGATGTATCATAGTTAATGGGTTTCCCAGGTGAGTGGTAAAGAACCTGTTTGCCAGTGCAAGAGACATAAGAGACTCAGGTTCGATCCCTGGGTCAGGAGGATCCGCTGGAGGAGGGCATGGCAACCCACTCCAGTACTCTTGCCTAGAGAATCCCACGGACAGAGGAGCCTGGAAGGCTTGCAACCAAGCACACATCATATTCACTAAGTCCTCTTTTGATGGACTTTTGGATCGTTTCCAAACTTTAGCTCTTACTGCGTTGTGGGATATCATTTCTTATTTTGGCCATTGCATCTCTGGGGCAGATCTGTTCAAGTAGCATTGCTGGGTGTTCCCAACCAGAAGTGGCTTTGGGTTGTTACTGGAGACCAGTCACATAGGCAGCCTCTTCCTGCATGGACCAGAATTCCAGGCTCCCAGAAGGAAAGCAGGTGTTTGGCACAAATTGTATTGTTTACCCAGTTAAGGCACAGTCAGCCACTATTGTCTGTTAAAGTGGTGGGAACGCTCCCAAAATCCAAGTTCCCAGACGTCATGCCAATCTTGAAATAGCAGCATTTCAAAGGATACCAGTCAAGCCTGCTAGATTTTTTTTTTTTTCCGCAAAGCACCATTTTCATTTCTTCAGCTATCCATCATGTATCTTGCTCATTTTTTTTTAAACTAGGTTTGTAGTCTTCTTCCTAATTGCTCTTTTTATATTAGCAATTTGGACCTTCTGTGACATTGGTTGCAGATATTTTTTCCAGTTTGTCTTGTGCCTTGCTTATGGTATTTGCTTGTTGTTTGTGTTTTGAATCATAGCTTTCCCCACTCTAAGGTGAGAAGGGAACTCTACCATCTAGAACTTATATTTTTCATTTTTTTTCATTTAGATCCCTCATTTGTTTGAAGTTCATCCTGGCATATAAAGAATACAGATCCTGTTTTATTTTTCCAAATGACTGCTCAGAATGTGCCAACTTTATTTTTCACTCATCTTTTCCTTGTTCATTTGAAAAGCCAGCTTTTTATCAGATATATACTAAATTTCTACAGGCTTTGGGGCTTATTTCTAGACTTTTATTCTGTTCCCGTGGTCTGTCTATTTAAGTAGCACACTCAGAAACTTTACAACATGTTTTAGGACTAACCTCCCCCAGTCACAATGCCACATTACTCTTATTTTCAGAGTATTCTTGGCTCTTCTTGCTTGCTTATTTTTCTATGCGAACTTTAGAATGAATATATCCAATTCTAAGGGGAAAATTAATTTTTGCAGGGATTATATTATATTTATAATTTCATGTTGTCAGAATTCTCATCTTTATCATGTTGAGTCCCACTGTTCAGTAATATAGCATGTCTTCCACTTAGTTACTTCCACTTTTTGTGTCTTCCAGCATTATATCCAGGTTCTCCTCATGTGAGATTTGCACCTTTCTTTTACATTTATGCTTTTTTTGGTGGGAAGGTGGGGGGCGATCAATCCATCCACTCACTTTTGAGAAAATCCTTAATGCTTACATGATAGATTTGATGTTGAAACCCGGCATGTGTTCATTGGTGACCAGTCAGGCCAAGTAACCATCCTCAAACTGGAGCAAGAAAACTGCACCCTGGTCACAACATTCAGAGGACACACAGGTGGGATTGAAAGCGGACCCTCCAAGTGTTGCTCTCACCCTGACCTCTCCCCTGCCGCGTGTTCTGATATTCACATGATGTGCTGCTGAGGTATACTCTGGACCTGTGTGATGGTAACACGTGATAGATGTAACTGATTGCAGCATGATTCAGTAAGAGGGAGGGTCAGAAATGTTCTCCATCAGTTCAAACAAAAGAGCAAACAGTCTGTTTCAGAAGTGGTGGTGATCTGGTTCTTTGTCATGTTATGCTGGAGAAAGCCGTGGTGGGCAAACATTAAATGAGATGTTGTTTGAGGCTGTGTGGCAACTGCATGAACCCTGGAAGGACAGCTGCCTCGGTCTGTCCTTGCCCTCCTTGGAGCAAGAAGATGGTGTCTGGGACAGACTTCTACTTCCAAGACAAGTGAAATGAAAAATAGATTTCTCACTGGTAGCTAGCCTACATAAAAAAGGAACAAGTTCCTCTTTGATTTTCCTTACTCTGAAGCTCTTTTCAAGACCCCGTTTATGTTACTGGCCTGCTCAAGGTCATTTAAACAGGGTGATAAACTATATCCACACTTGGCCTTTGAAAGACTTGGGTAAACGATGACGATTAATTTTTTTCTTGTGTTTTTAACATGTGATATTGACCCTGGAAAATGAATCATTGCCTGTCCGTAGTTCTTAACAAGCTTTTGTGTCTTCTGCAGTTTACCAGCCCACCTATTCAGTATAGAACAGAGTTAATATGAGTCTAGATGTCTTATAAGAACAAAAGTAGGTGAATGAGGATGTAAAATGGGATAGTACCTAGATCACAAGGGGTTTCCTGAAGGGAAAAAGAGGAATGCTGTAAAGAGAAGATTGAATCTAAGGGAAAGATTCATCAAAGATCATCTTAATTATCTGTGCCTTAGGTAGGAAGAACACACAGAAACTCCCCTGTGGGTAGAACCCAGGTCTCTTCTGATTGGATTTCTCTTTTTAGCTACCTTTTTAGCCTGACAGGGACCTGAAGCTGCCCCAGGTCGGGACTGTTGCCCTGCTGGCCTCAGTCTCCTAATCCGTGCCTCCCCTAAGGCCTTTCTCCACCTGCGCTTGCTCTTGTCCTGGTTGAGGAGTCCCGCTTTCGACCCCTCATTCCCCAGCGTCCTTGGGCCCGTCTTTCCTTCCTTCCCCATCGTGTCAGCTGTGCATTGCCCAGCATTCTCAGCTCGGGACTCCTTGTCCCTCCTCCTTGGTAAATTTCACCTGGGGTTCAGACTCTGCGCCTGTCTCCTCGTGCACTCAGCTACGGGGTCTGCCGGGGGTCACGGTCTGAGCCTCTGCCCACTGTCTCCAGAGCCGTCCCTCCAGCCCAGACCCAGGAGCCGCCTCACAGAACCCGGCTCCGTATGCAGGACACCCCTCCTCTCATCCCCTCGGCAGCTTTTTGAGACCTTCCTCACTCTCCCCAGACCTTCCTCAAAGAAAGACGAAGGTTATCAGATGGAAGCGTTCTTAACATGTTTGGTTCTTGACCACCCCATCTTCCCTCCACAGTAAGCCAACTTCTCCTCCTCCACCTCCTCGTCTCTTGCCCTCCTGCCTCCTACTGTCCTTGGCCCCAGGCTCATCCTTCTCGGGGTCTCCACACCGCAGGTTAATCCTTCCGTCTCCCTTTTGACCAGTTCACTCTTTGCAAGTTACTAACATGGGAAGTTTTTTTGCCTCTGGGGAAAAAAAAAACCTAACAAAACCCCTCTGATCTCATCTTAACAGCAATGCTGCTTTTTTATTTTTTTAAGTTGCAGTGAAATGTACACAACCTAAAATTGACTGTTTTGACCATTAACATTTTTTTTTACCTTTTTTGGGGGGGGTGGGGAGGGGTTGTGCCATGCAGGATGCAGTTCTCCGACCAGGGGAATCACTGGGAAGTTCCCACTTTGACCATTTTTAAGTGTGCAGTTCAGTGACACTAGGTACCTTCACATTGTTGTGCAACCACCACCACCCAGAACATTCTTTTTGTAAAACAGAAACTGTGCCCATGAGACGCCAACTAACTCCCTGCCCCAGACCCTCCCCCCAGGCCTGGCAACCACCATTCTGCTGTCTGTCTCTCTGGATTCAGTGACTCTAGGCACCGCATATGAGGGGAAGCCTACAGTATTGGTTGCTTTGTGACTGGTCTGTTTCACTTAACATGATACCTTCATGTTGTCATGGATTCTTAAAGACTCATTTTCCCTGCTGCTTCACATTCTTCTCCCCCATTGGCTTTCCTGCCACCTGCAGTTTGGCTTGTCACTGTCACTCCAGTCACACTGCTGTCCCCGAGGTGGCCAGTGGCCTGCTGGCTGCTGAATCCAGTGGACACGCTTTAAACTATGTCCTGCTTAACCTCTCGGTAGCGTTTGACATTGTGGCCATTCCTTCCTGCTGTGACTGCCCTCGTTTGGCTTCTGAAACACATTCCCTCTCAGTTTGAAGCCTCTGACTGCACTCTCTCCTCTGCTTTGGGGTTGCTCTGGGGGATTCTGCCGGGACCTCCTGGGCTCTCCCTGGTTGACCCCGGCCACTACTCCCAGTCACAGAACAAAAAGGCATAGTCGTCGTCCTCAAATTCCTCTCTACCCAGTGAGTGAGACTGAAGCTAAACAGTGAGTATAGTGCCTGGTGGCTGAGTTGGGGGAGCCACACCACGCATGTCCACGAATATGGAGCGGGCACCTCGCTGGCACGGGAGTGAGAGTTGGTCAGGGAAGGTCTCCCCAGGGGAGATGTGGCTTGGACCTAAGAACTTAGGGGAGGAGTGAGTGTTGAGTTCATGAAAGAGAAGGAAGGAGAACAGTGCAGGCAGAGCAAACCGGCAGAGCCCAAGGCCTGGGGATCTGCAAAGCCTGGTTCTCTTGGGAGCGCCTACTAACTCTTTTGGCTGGAACACAGAGTATGGGTGCGGGGGGGAGGGAGCGGGGAGAAGGAAGCCAGAAAGGAAATGAGAGTCAGTTCAGATCACCGAGAGGATTATCCTGACGTCAGGGAGAAGTGGTTTTAAGTGCAGAAGTTAACCTGGTTGGATGTTTTTTTTTTGTATACTAATTTAAATAACATTATTCATAGTGTCCATAAAGTGAAACAACTCATGTGTTCATCAACTGATAAATGGAGAAACAGAACATAATATATCCATACAAGGGACTATTACTCAACAATACGAACTATTTGTTGATATGTGCAATAAAATGGGTAAACCTTGAAAGTATTATGATAAGCCCAGAAGCTTCACCCCAAAGCAGTAGCTTCATTTTGCCTCTTCCCCACTCCCCAGGCAAAGAAAACCGTTCATTTGTTCTTTGCCTACTCTGGAATTTTCATATAACCTGATTGGATGTTAAAAGATTGATCTGGCTGTAGAGAGTGATATGATGGAAAAGCTGGTAGGAAACTGTCCTTCACAGTGAGGCCACAATGATGGGAGAGCAGGGAGTCGATGGACCCAAGGTAAAGTTTTAGGCAGTTAGCTCAGCAGGCATGGTGATGGGCTGGAGAGTTCGCAGGCTTCGTTTCAGCTGAGGTGGCTTTCAGCCCAAACTTCTGAATCTTTAGTAGTTAGATGTTGCCCAGAGCACTGATCTGAGGGCTCCAAGTTCAGTATTGCTGCCTCCAGGTCAAAACCGAGGCAAGCAGCTGCTGCTCACTGTGAGATGAGCCAGGGGGTGGCCCACGGGTTTGTTTCACATCTTCCACGTTGACTTCCCTGGTGGCTCAGATGGTAAAAGTGTCTGCCTACAATGCGGGAGACCTGGGTTCAATCCCTGGGTCGGGAAGATTCCCTGGAGAAGGAAATGGCAACCCACTCCAGTACTCTCGCCTGGAAAATCCCATGGATGGAGGAGCCTGGTAGGCTACAGTCCATGGGGTCGCAAAGAGTCAGACAAAACTGAGCAACTTCACTTTCACTTTTCTTTTCTTTCTTCCAAGTTAGTTCCATGGGCTTCCCAGGTAGCTCTAGTGATAAAGAACCTGCCTGCCAGTGCAAGAGACGTAGAAGATGTGGGCTGGATCCTTGGGTCGGGAAGATCCCCTGGAATAGGAAATGACAGCCCGCTCCAGCATTCTTGCCTGAAGCACCTCATGGGCACAGGAGCCTCGAGGACTATAGTGGGGTCACAGAGAGTCGGACACAACTGAGGACCTTGATATTGTATCTTATCTTTCTGAAACAGTGCAGAATATTTTCACGTGATCTCACCATGAAGTATCTTAGAGGGAGACAGGACATGGCCCAGGAAGGTCGCTATCTAACCCAAAGGCAAATAAATCGAGCAGGTCACATTTCTTGTTGTTTACTCACTAAGTCCTGTCCGACTCTTTTCAACCCACTGGACTGTAGCCTGCCAGGCTCCTCTGTCCATAGGATTTCAGGCGAGAATACTGGATGCATTGCCATTTCCTTCTCCTTGGGATCTTCCCAACCCAGGGATCGAACCGATGTCTCCTGTATTGGCAGTCAGGTTCTTTACCTCTGAGCTACCAGGGAAACCCAGATCACATATCTAACTTATTGTTATTCCTGGACAGTAGTACCTACCCACTCTCTATCTCCTGTCTGGCTACAGCACTGCTGATTCATTTATAGGTAGTACAAGGGTGTCTGAGAGATTCCACGATGATTCGAGCATTGTGAAGCTCTTCCTATGTAGTAAGTCCATCTGGGCCTTGGGAGGTCCCAAACTCAGCCAGACACAATTGTGGACAAAGGGTCTAAGAAAGGAGAATTAGCTTAATCGCCTCATTCCCTTACCCCCCAAACAAAGACTTTAAGATGAGCCCAGATTCATTAAAGACTGATCTTGGGGATCTGATCAGTCCAGATTCAAACTCAGAAGCAGACAAGTCTTCAGTATGTGTACAGAGTCCTAGCCATTCATCCATCACTCTCTGTTAAAGTGCAGAAAGTCATAAAAAATGCGAGTTAGTGATGGACTCTGCCTAATAGCCATACCCGAAGGCCAAAACATGGCATTTACT